TATAATTAAGGAGTTATTCACATGAACGGGTTTAATAAATCTGACTTACCTTTTCCTGTGGATAGCAAATTCAATGGAATTAGAATTCAACCTATTCTTTTGAAAACAGACTTGTTTCTTTTGTTTAAACAATTCATTTAGACCATTCATTCTTCTTTTTAAATCACCTTATTCCTTTTTAAACAATTCACAAAGTTTTATTTTTCTATCAAGTTCAAAATGTAAAGCAGTCTCACTCTTTTTGAAGTAATCATTTTCAACTTTCAATTTTTTATTTTGTTGAAAAAAATTTGCATTATCTCGAAGCAAAAAACTAATTTTCTGTTTTAACTCCTTGTTTCTAGCATAGGATTCTTTCAAACTATCATGAAATTTTTGTAATGAAAGATTCAAGATCATCATCAGCTTAATCATCACTTTCAACTTGAGTGTTACAAGATGTTACCTCATCATCTCTAATGGCCATAAAAGCCAATTGAGCAGATTCTTCATTCTCTTCAATTTCACCATCGGAGTTGAACTCATTCCATGTGAACTGAAAACTGTTGATTCTTGGTTTTCTTTCACCTTTTCTCTTCTTCATTGGATACTCACTTGCATGGTGTCCAGGTTGGCCGCATTCAAAGCACTTATCAGTTTGATTTTTGTTAAACTCTAGCTTCCTTTTGTTTTTCAGGTTGTTGAACTGATTTGGGAGTGAATTGCTAGGTCCACATTTTCTGAATCTTCTCTTGTTGAGTATTCGTTTGAAGCTTCTTGTGATGAGTGCGATATCATTGTCATCACCTTCTGCATTATCTTCATTTAGGGAGGCAGAATGATCTTCATTTTGAAATGTCTGTAGAGCAATGCTCCTTCTTACTTTCGCATCCTCATCCTCTTGCATTTTGGACTTAAGCTTCAACTCATAAGATGTTAGAGAATTAATAAGAGATTCAATAGACATGATATTCAAATCTTTAGCCTCCTCAATAGCAGTCACTTTATTTTTCCAATCATTGGACAAGGCATTCAGGATTTTTCTATTTTTCTCACCAAGAGAATATTCTTTTTCCAGCACCTCTAAATCTTTAATGAGGTCATTGAATCTACAATACATCTCATCAATGTTTTCATCAGATTGCATCTTGAAAGATTCATACTTTGTAACTAAAATGGACTTCTTTTGTTCTCTAACATTCTCACTACCTTCATGAATTTCTCTCAATTTATCCCAAATTTTCTTGGCTGACTTGGAGCTCTTGACTTTAATCGATTCATTTGAGTCTAAAGTACAATATAACACATTCATGACTTTTGCATTTAATGTGAGATGAGCTCTATCCGCAGCAGTCAGTTCACTTCTTGTTTTTGGTCTAGATCTCTGAATATTTTCATCTATAAGAGAGGTATCATGTGGACCTTCACTGATAATAAACCACAATTCAATATCAATAGATTGCAAAAAAATAATCATTCTTTCTTTCCAACTCATATAATTTGACCCATTAAACATAGGTGGTTTAATAACAGAATGTCCTTCAAAAAACATAGCATTGTTGGTTGTCATCTTTACTCCAAAGTCGATTGAGCTTAATCTCTAGGAGACCAAGCTCTGATACCAATTGTAAGGCCCGAAAACAACCACTTTTCTAGGCGACCACACAATGGAGCAGTTGATGAGAAAGCACAAGTGCTTGTGAGTAGAAGAGATAAACAAAGTACAGATTTCAAACGTAACAATAAATAAATAAAAAGGAAAGAATAGCAAACCAATTAACTACCCAACTCCTCTTGAGCTTATAGGTTAATTCAAACAAACTACTTCAAGTTGATGAATTACAATCACTTTTGTGTACAAAGGAAGGTTCACCTCCTCCTTGCCCCGAACTCCACTCGGTCAAGCCAGGACATTTTACTATCCCTCAGGACAACCCTCACAGAGCTACACTCATGAAGAATTCACTCACAAATGAAAAGTTTATAATGAATCTCATACCACTAAAACTAGAAATCTTCTTTGAAGAATATTTTCTTACTAAAATCTCTCTAAATCTTTTGCATTTTCAATGTGCCAAAGTTGTTTGAAGTGTCTGACCAACCACTATTTATATAGGACCAAAAAAGTGCCTAATTAATGCTTCCAATGAATAGAAAGTAGCTGAACAGTCAACTAGCCGTTGGTAGTGTCGGACGTCCGATAGCTCTGTTTTATGCGTCCGACAGCAGGCAGTGAATTTGAGAAATTTTCTTCAATTCTTTCGGACGTCCGGTATGTTGGTTTTCTGCGTCCGAAGGTATGATGTAAAACTGAAAAATTTTCTTCAAATCTTTCGGATGTCCGGTAGGTTGATTTTCTGCATCCGAAGTGACGCAACGATTATCGGACGTCCGATCCTGACTTCTTGAGCGTCCGACAGCTTCAGCATACTTTGTCCCCTTTCAATTGCACTTGTTCATGGAATCAAATAACTTCAAAACTGAAAGTATATCTTGAAAAAATATTAGTATCATCCATTTGTTTTGTAAACATCAAAAAATAGGGATCAAGATCAACAAAATCATAATCGAACCACACACACATACCAGTAACAACTCTAAAGAAAAAAATGAAATTACTTGCACAAATAACATTATCACCGTTGATAAGTGAATATTTAACGTACATTTTATAAAAGTTTGGCATGAACTTTTGTTATATTTTAAGAGGATTAAAACCATATTTGAACTCTTTTTAGTGCTAATTGCTTAAGTGTTGTTTGAGTAATCAAAACTTGCTAAATGAGTGGATTAATGTTTTAATTTGTGATATTTTGAAGGATACTGATATGTGAAATTCATGTACAAGATAAAGAAAAAGCAAGGATCATCTAGAGGATAAAATACAAAAGAAACGAGGAGCAAAAATAAAGGAAAAAAGAAGGAATTGAAAATTTAAAAATTGAAATACATGGATTCGAGCTCGGATCCATGTGCACAAGGGCGATCCGAGCCCTCGTCTGTACTTCTGGAACAGTGGATTCGAGGTCAGTCGATCCGAGCTCGGATCCAGGTGAGAAAGGTCTTGGATCACACTAAAGCCCTCGAATCCAAGGCTCGGATCGGCCTCTCTCCTGTGCAAGTGGCACAATCGATTTTCTTACTTTTCACACTACTTTTCAACTATCTTTGGTGAGAAAATTCGATCGCACATGCTTCTAGAGCAAAAATAAGGACAATATGATTTATTGTCAAGTCAAAACTATATTTCTTTTGACTTTCTTAACAAATTTGAGGTTTTTGGAATCATGAGGGGAGAAAAAGAGAACTTTCCATCAGCTTTTATGGAGAACAAGAGGGAGAAGTCTAGGGGTAGCTAGTTTTCTTCTTGTAACATTTTCTCTCTAGCTAGAAGTTCTTGAAAGAGCACTTGGAGCCTTCATATTAGAATTATTTTCAATGCAAGACATAGCAGAAATCGGAGGGTTTCACCATTAACTTGGCTAAGTTTTTCTTAACTTTCTTGTACTTGTAACTTGAGATGTTTTTTATTAATGAGGTTATGAGTTTAATTGTTATATCATCCATGAGTAACTAATTTTCTATATCTAGAGAGTAGATAAAACTTATGGCCAAGTGATATGAATTGAATGTGACTTACATTTGTTATATCTTGTAATAACTTGTCTACTTGTGCATGAGTGATTACTTGTTGTTGTTTGATCACCAATAACAAGATTATAGTTGTTATTACTCATTGAGAAATAGTAATAAAAATGGAATGACATGAGTAGAACTAAAGTTGTATGTTCATGAGAATAGAAATACATTCAAGTGGATGAAATCTGCATTTCATGCATGAACAAGAACAGGGTTAGTTATTTACCAAGAAATTAGGAAAAACTAAGATTTTCTAGACCATTATTATCATGAGAATGAGATTTTGGTATTTCTTTGGAAATGAATCCCTGGTTAAATAAGAATAGTAACAAGTGTTAAGTTCATTAAATCAGATCTTTTGTGCAATAAGTGGAATCTATTTCCCTAGATTTAAATTTTTAGTGAAAAATCTCCATTTGCAACTTGCATTTATTAACTCAGAATTGTAGACAGTAGCAATATCATTTCTCTACTCAAATTCATTATAAGTCTAAATAATAGAGAAAATAAGGATCTAGTACTTGTAGACATTGCTCCTCGTGAGATCGACCCGATACATGCCCTATATTATTTGATTAACCTGTATACTTACAGACAATGAGTATAAATTGGATTTAAACTTGCACTTATATTAAAAACTCGACAAGTTTTTGGCGTCATTGCCGGGGAGCGGCAATATTAGGGCCTAATAATCTCTATTAATTTAGACAGCTTTACTCTTATTAGTTAAGCTGTTTATAGTTATTTTTGTATTTTAATCAGTTTTTGATAATTGAAGCTGCATAATCTCTCTTATTTCTATTTGTAGTGTATGGAGCGAGCATCTCCGGAAGTTGCACCTTTTGATCCTGAAATTGAGAGAACACTAGTAGACAAAGGAGGCATACACCACAACAAGAGGAACAAGAGGTTTGGCAACCGATAGAGGAAATCTTAATAGAGCTACCATTTGAAGAAGAGATAGCCGAAAACGAGGCAAATAGACGAGTTCTACGAGATTTTGCTCTATCGGGGACACAAGGATCTCAAACAAGCATAGCAAGACCTACGGTAAATGCTAACAATTTTGAAATTAAACCATCACTTATCCAAATGGTTCAACAATCTTAATTTGGAGGTAATGCAGTAGAAGATCCTAATTCACACTAGGAGGTAATGCAGTAGAAGATCCTAATTCACACTTAGCTACATTTTTGAAAATATGTGATACAATTAAAATGAATGGAGTTAGTGATGATGCTATAAAGCTAAGCTTGTTTCCATTTTCATTAAGAGATAAGGCTAAGATTTGGTTACACTCTCATGCTCCTAACACTTTCACCACATGGAATGATTTATCAAGAGCATTCTTAAATAAGTATTTTTCATCGGGCAAGACTGCTAAGCTTAGAATGAATATCACTAGTTTTAGCGAATTAGAGGGTGAATCATTATATGAGGCATGGGAAAGATTTAGAAATTTTCTACGAAAATATCCACATCATGAACTGGCCAATTAGCTAATCATACAAACCTTCTATAATGGTTTATCTTTTTTTACTAAAGCTATGATTGATGCAGTTTCAGGTGGAGCTTTAATGGGTAAATCACCCCAAGAATCTTAGAATTTGATAAAAGAAATGACCTCAAATAACTACCAATGGGCCAATGAGAGAGGTAATATAAGACGTCACGCAGGTGTGATAGAAATGGACACTCTTAATATGTTGAGTGCTCAAATGAATAATGTGATGAAGTTGCTAAGTAGACAAGGTGGAGTTGGTTCAAGTTCATCTAATGCACATGTAGCTTATTGTTCTATATGTGGAGGTGAGCATGATGTTAATGAATGTGCTGATTCTGAATAGGTACAATTTGTCAACAATTATAATCGTAATGCTCAAAATAATCCCTATTCGAACACTTATAATCCAGGATGGAGACATCATCCAAATTTTGAATTGAAAGACCAAGGCAATCAACCAAACCCAATCAATCCACTAGGATTCCAACCGAGGCAATCACAAGCTGAAACCAAACCTGATTGGGAGATTGCAGTGAAAAAACTCGCAAAGGTTACTTCGGACAGATTTGAGCGAGTAGAAGGAAGACTGGACCAACGTACTACAATGTACAGGAATGTAGAGATTCAAATTGGTCAAATTGCAAGTGCCTTGACCAATCGAAATCAAGGAGAACTACCTAGCAAAACGGAGGTTAACCCCAAGGAGCATGTTAAGGCCATTACTCTTCGTAGTGGTAAACAATTAGAAGATCATCCAGTGGTGGAGGTTGAGAAAGGTGAGAGTGAAAAACAAGAAGAAAAACAGAGGAACCAAGAAGCGATAGTAGAGGAAAATAGCCGGGAGAAACCAAGAGAAAGTCAACCATCATCTTCCACTACTATTCCGATACCTCCTGTGATTCCATTTCCACAAAGACTCAAGCCGAATAAGTTTGATAAAGATTTTGAAAAATTTATTAAAATTTTCAAACAACTGCATATTAACATTCCTTTTGCAGATGTTATTTTGCAGATTCTCTCATATGCGACATTTCTCAAGAAAATCATGACTCGAAAAAAAAAGTTGAAGGACTGCAAAACCATAGCATTAATGGAGGAGTGTAATGCAATCATACAAAATAAGTTACCACCGAAATTGAAGGATCCGGGGAGTTTTTCTATACTTTGCACCATAGGTAACATTGACTTTTCTAAAGAATTGTGTGATATTGGTACTAGTGTATCATTAATTTCTTTAACGGCAGCTAGACAATTGGATTTGCATGAGTTTAAACGCACTAATATTACCTTGCAACTAACGGACAAGTCTATTAGATATCCATTGAGAGGATTGGAGAATGTATTGATAAAAGTTCAAAAATTTATCATTCCAGTGGATTTTGTGGTTTTAGATATGGAAGAAGACATGTCTATGCCGATTATTGTAGGTGTGCCATTTATAGCTACTGTAGGTACTATTATTGATGTCAAAAATGGCAAACTCAAGTTTCAAGTAGATGAAGAAGAGGTAGAATTTAATTTGAATGAAATGAAAAAATACCCCGTTTTCACTGATCATGCTTATTCTATTGGCACAATTGATAAACTAACTCAAGAGATGAGCCAAGTCAATTTTGACTTCGATCCTCTTGAGTATTGTTTAATGAGTTTAGGTATGCAAGGAGGTGATTGTGAAAAAATTGAAAAATTGGCCAAATATTTGGATTCTCAAGCACCATATAGAAGGAGTAATTTGTATGAAAGTCTTGGCCAAGGTAAAGGACTTCCACAGCCTTCGGAAGTTGAACTTCCAAAATTAGAGCTCAAACCACTTCCAACTCACTTAAGATATGAATTTCTTGGAGAAAATAGCACTTTACCTGTAATTGTTAGTGCTGACCTTGATAATGAGCAGTGTGAAAAGTTGTTAAGAGTTCTAAGAAGGCACAAGAAGGCAATCGGATGGACAATTTCAAACATTAAAGGTATAAATCCTTCTATATGCATGCATCACATTTTATTGGAGAACAATTGCAAACCAGTGGTGGAAATACAAAGAAAATCCAATCCAAATATGAAAGAGGTGGTAAGAAATGAAATTCTTAAGTGGCTTGACGCATGTATAGTCTTTTCTATCTCCGATAGCGTTTGGATTAGTCCAATTCATGTTATACCCGAAAAAGGTGAAGTAACTACAATTGTGGATAAAAATGATGAAATGATTCCATCTAAATTTGTGATTGGGTGGAGAGTGTGTATTGATTATCGTAAACTAAATATGGTAACAAGAAAAGATCATTTTTCTTTACCATTTATTGATCAATTATTGGAGCGAATAGCCGGATATGAATTTTACTGTTTTCTTGATGATTTTTCAGGATACAATCAAATAGCTATAACTCCGAAGGATCAAGAGAAGACCACATTTACATGTCCTTATGGCAGTTTTGCCTTTAAAAGGATGCCATTTGGTTTATACAATGCTCCTGCGACTTTTCAATGTTGCATGATGCCGATCTTTTCTGATTATATTGAGAAAATTATGGAGATATTTATGGATGATTTTTCTGTGTATGGTTCATCTTTTGACCATTATTTTCATAATTTGGAATTGATTTTGCAGAGATGTGAGGAGACAAATCTTGTACTAAATTGGGTGAAATGCCATTTTATAGTAAAAGAAAGAATTGTTTTAGGACACAAGATTTTCTCTAAAGAAATTGAGGTGGATAAAGCAAAAATTGAAGTTATCGAGCAATTGCCACATCCAACTAATGTCAAGGGGATAAGGAGTTTTTTAGAATATGCCGGCTTTTATAGACGCTTTATTAAGGATTTTTCTAAAATAGTAAAGCCGTTGTGTGATTTATTATGTAAAAATACCCCGTTTCAATTTAATAATAATTGTTTGGTTGCTTTTGAAAAGTTGAAGAAAGAATTGGTTTCTGCTTGGTCACTACCATTCTAATTGATGTACGATGCAAGTGACTATGCAGTTGGAGCAGTTTTGGGGCAAAAGAAAGAAGGGAGGTTGCACGTCATTCATTATGCTAACAAGTTGTTAAATGAGGCACAACTCAATTATGCAACAACGAAAAAAGAGGTATTGGCGGTGATATTTGCTTTAGATAAATTTAGATCCTATTTAGTAGGATCTAAAGTTATCATATACACGGACTATTCGACTCTTAAATACTTGCTACATAAGAAAGATGCAAAACCTAGACTAATTCGGTGAATTCTTTTGTTGTAAGAATTTGATGTAAAAATAAAAGACAAAAAGGGAACGGAAAACCTCGTAGCGGATCACCTATCACGCTTGGAATATATCCCAGTCAAGGATCAAGTTCCTATTCAAGAGAATTTTTCGGATGAGTTTGTCTTAGCAATTATCAATTCTTCATGGTATGCAGATATTGCTAATTATTTGGTAAGTGAAGAGATTCCAAAGGGGTTTAATTATTATCAAAAGAAGAAATTTTTGCATGATGTCAAAAGTTACTTTTGGGAGGAACCATTGTTATATAGACATTGTGCCAATGGTATAGTGCACAGATGTATTTCCGAATATAAGGTACATAATGTTTTATATCATTGTCACAACCTTGAAATAGGTTGGCATTTTAGCACTTCAAAAACTGTAGCAAAGGTATGGCAATCAGGGTTTTATTGGCCAACTATGTATAAAGATATTAGGGAATATGTTAAAAGTTGTGATGCATGCCAAAGAACTGAAAATATATCTCGTAAAAATGAAATGTCCCTAACTACTTTCTTAGAAGTTGAGTTATTTGATGTGTGGAGTATTGATTTTATGGAACTACTCCCTAGTTCTTTTAATAATAAGTACATATTAGTAGCAGTGGATTATATTTCTAAATGGGTAGAGGCAATCGTTTCACCTACTAATGATTCTAAAGTTGTACTCCGATTCCTTAAAAAGAACATTTTTTGTAGATTTGCCATACCTAAGGCCATAGTAAATGATGAAGGAAAACATTTCTGTAACAAGCAACTTGATTCTTTATTATTTAAATATGGTTGTAGGCACAAGACATCACTTCCGTACCATCCTCAGGCCAACGGACAAGCGGAGTTAGCTAATCGAGATATAAAGCTCATTCTGGAGAAAATCGTGAATAAATCACGGAAAGATTGGGTTACAAAGCTAGATGATGCACTATGGGCTTACCGAATGGCATTTAAGACACCCTTAGGGATGTCGCCGTATCGCTTAGTCTATGAAAAAACTTGTCACTTACCTGTAGAGATTGAACATAAAGCTTATTGAGCTATTAAACCAATTAACATGGATTTTAATCTTGCAGGAAGAAGGAGGCTACTTGAATTAACTGAATTGAAGGAACACCGGCTACATACTTATGAAAATGCCAAAATTTATAAAGAGAAGATCAAATATTGGCATGATAAGCATATTATTCCTAAACAATTCTAGGTAGGGTAAAAAGTGCTTTTATTTAACTCACGCCTGAGATTGTTTCTAGGAAAATTGAAATCAAGGTGGTCGGGACCATTTGAAGTCAGTCAAATATTCCCTTATGGAGCTGTTGAAGTGGCAAATTCAAGAAAAGAAAAGTTTAAGATCAATGGACAACGATTAAAACCCTACTTAGCTGGTGAAATCGTTCCCAAGGAACTTATATGTCACTTGGGTGATTCTTCTTCAAATTGAGAATTCAACCCTCGAGTCGAGCCAACGACTATAAACAAAAGCGCTAGTTGAGAGGCGACCCAATGATTTATTTAGTTTAATGTGTTTTTAATGTGTTTTTCATTAATTGGTATGATTTTTAATGTTTTAGTTATTTGTAGGGGGTTACCGGATGATGAACGTCCATCTTGGAGGTGCATTTGAAGAACGATCGTAAAAAGGGAAGTTTTCCTATTGGATTTTGGTTTAAATGTCCAAATTTCTAGTTCATATATCCAATATTGCACATTCATTATATTCAAGTGAGTTTTGGTGGTAACATGTTTATATATGCTCATTTACTCATTTGATGTGCATGTCATGCCTAAAAGTGTAATTTTAGTGTAAAAGTATCAAAATGATCAAAGAACCTCAACCCTTGATTTGCAAATTAGATGTCTTTGATGTGTTTTGAGAGGTTGGATTTAGTGTTTAGGGTATATTATACTTGCACGGAAGGTTAGAATTGATAAAAAGTTCGTTCAAAGCGTAATTTGGAATTGGTCAGAAAAAGGAGGAAAATTTGAAAAAAATTGCAGTTTTGCAATTAATGCAGAAAACAAGCGATTCGAGCTCGGATCCGAAAAATTTGAAAAAAATTGCAGTTTTGCAATTAATGCAGAAAACAAGCGATTCGAGCTCGGATCCGAAAATTTCCAGTCGGATCCGAGGGCTCGTCTGATCATCTGGAGCAACGGATCCTAGTCCTGATGGAACTGATTTGAGCTCGGTTCGTGAATATAGCAGAACCGAGACTTGGGTTCTGCATTTTTCCCGCTTTTTCCTATTTCTCTTCACCAAACCCTAGCCTCCTTTATTCAATCTCCCATTTTAACCACCAAACTTCCAATTTTTCACCATAAAAACATCTCCCTACCACTTGTGATCATTAACCCTTAACAATTTCGCATCAAAACATCATTCGAAAGGGATTTTAATCTTCTTCAAGAGCATTGGGGTTGACTGAAATTTTGCAATTTGTGGTCGAATTTGGGCTGTTTCTTTTCCATTTTTTGCATTATTATCATCCTCTACTATCACTCTATACATTTGAGGTAAGAATTTTCATCTTTCTTTGAAATTATACATTTCCTCATTCTTAATTTTTTTCTATTTTTCTATATATTTGGGAAATACATATATGTTGAAAATTCGTGGTATAATTGTGCTACATTGTGCTATCACATGTCATTGGAACTAATTCTATGCTTAGTATTGAGGAATTCGTGAATATGGTGACATCTTTTGTATAATTTTTCTCAATTATTAGGTTAAAGCACATTGTAATTTTTGCTTAAAATTCCTTGCTTCTTTGGATCAGTTTGAATTGTTTTTAAGAAATGGAGATTACTTTTGTGCCAATTAGAGGACAACATATGATTTTTTGCATAAATTGGTATGAATTCTTTGGGTAAAAATACTAAATGGTTCAATTTGAGCATGAAATTGGCATGAGCATTGAAATGTTACTTTTAGATGGTTTCCCAAGCTTGAATGTGTACCCAACAACTTTGCAAACCTATTGTATTTCTAGTTTTTACCTTTTTCTTGTTTAGTGTTTAAAATTTCAAGAAATAGAGTGGTGAGTGGATTTTTCAAGCCATGTGATACGATTTTGGATTGAAATGGACTTAATATATGTGCAATTTAGTTTGTGAATTGGTTAAGTATGATATAGTCTTGAATTTGTTGATGGTTAGCAGGGAGTTTCTTCCTTTTTCAAGGGGAAACTCTGCTGAAATTTTCTCAAATTACTTTCCAACATTTTTACAGTGTATTTTCAAGGGGTAAAGATTGCTTCTAATGTCCATTGATTTTCTTTTTCATATAGCGACCATGGTTCGCACACGAAGGGCTGTAGTTCGAACTCCTTCACCTTCTTCAAGTGAAGAGCGCACTTCTTCAATACTTGAGGAGTCACCAGTGGAGGAATCTCCTTCTCATGAGTCGCCGCCACGTTCACGGCATAAGAGGGCATCTACTAGCCACGAGGAGCCAACTCCAGATTATGATATCACACGCTTCACATCCTTAGAAAACCAACAGTAGTATGAGGCGGGCTTAGCCACGAAGATCATTATCGAAAAACACTTGGCACCAGAGGTAAATGATCATTATAAGGTCTCCACAGCATTTGGACAACTTGGATGGGCAAATATTCTAAAGTTGTTACGGCATTACTACTCTAACTTAGTCCGAGAGTTTTATGCCAATGTGGAGAACAAGTAGATCCACAGTGGAATTCAATTGTCTATTGGGTTCGAGGCAAGAGAGCGGCCATCCACCGGGAGACAATCGCCCGAATTGTCAAACTCAAGAACGAGGGAGAGGATGTTAAATAGACCAAGGAATTTAAGGCACGTGGTCCATAACAAGTGGGAGAAGCAGTGTCACGTCTTAAGCATCAATACCGTGAACGAGAAAGTTTGAAGAAGCTCCTCGAGGAAGTTCGAAGAAGCTCCTCGAGGAAGTTCGAAGAAGCTCCTCGTTTATGCCGATTCATTTGAGCCTAGGTACCACATTATTTTCTATCTCTTTATTTTTAATGTGGTATCTAAGAGAAGTGGCAAAAGGGAAGTACAAAATAGCGACCTATACTTTTTGGATAAGATGATGAATGGAATAGGTTGGCAGTTGACAGGAATTCCTCTCGACAGCATCACTATTAGCTATATGCATACCACAGCTCGCATGAGGGGCCAGCGAACCTGTTTTGGATTTCCTCGTCTTCTGTCCCTTCTTTTTGAGAAGCTCAAGATTCCTCTTGGAGTCGAGCGAGCCATTATAACTAAGGCTGCCGATGAAGTCAACGTCTCGTTACTCAAGTCCTTGGGCATCCCTACGGACTTTGGAACTCCTTTGGTTTGAGACGTTGGAGAAGCTTCAACCTCAACTCAGCCCCTACCTCATCCTCACCCGGAACAGGACGCTCAACAAACGGAGGCACAGCAAATTCGACCTCCTCCCATCCCACCTACACCACCTCCTCCGAGATCCAAGTGGCAAGAAGTCCTCAACGCTATCTATTGTATGGAGGCAAGGGTCATGGAGCGCATTGATCAACAGGAGCGATGGATGATGGAGCGACTCGAGAGGCATGATCGACGTCTTAAGGCGTTGGAGGACCATTTTCACATCTGCTGTTCGCCTACACCGATTCCTAAGCCGAGAGATAGCGAGCATGAAGCTTGTGAGAACGGTGGAGGCAATGAAGCAACTGAACTTGGTGGCCCCTCCACTTAATTTGCTTTGTTTAATTTTTTTATTTAATTTTTACTTTTTCTTTGTTATCTGGTGATAACTTTTGTATTAACTTATTATTGTGTTTTTTTTTTTACATTAACGCTTTTGGGATCATCTCACCTCCCTATGGCTATGAATCTTTCCCCTATTGCAGACTAGTAGCTGTTGAGATGATATGGATGTTCGTGATGTTCATGACCTCAAATGCATCAACACTTCTTCATAGGGGAGTACTAGTTTCTTTTTCCTTCTTTCACAATGAGAACATTATGAATTTCAAGTGTAGGGGGGATTACTTTGTCTTATGGCTTGATTGTGTCTTGAAATGCATGTTTTTATTTGATTATGGCTTAGAAATATTGGCATGAGGATAATTTTCTTGAAATTGGGAATGTTGACAGAGAGTTTTGTCAACTTATAAAGGAAAACTCTATCAACATTTTTCAAAATTTTTCCAATATTTCATTACAACCAAAATGCCTCAAATATTTGCACTTTTATGGGCCAAATTGTTCTAAGTTTAAGTGTCTAATTCTTCCATTTGTTGAAATATTATATGTATTTTGGGAAGATTTATTTCTCATTTAACCTGGAATTAATTATTATGCAATTAGGATTTTTGCATTTTAGAAAGTATATCTGATTAAGTAAGGAAAATTATGCCGATAAGTTTACATGTTTAATACGATTTCTCCTCTATACTTAATTTCATAAGTAAATGATTGATATAGTCAAAAAGAAGCCATACTCGTCCTTTAATTATTCTTATACATTTTCAATGAGGGAATAAAATAAATAAATAATAATAAATAAATAAATAAATAATATATATAATATATATATATATTCTACTCCAATAATTCTCGTGCCAAGTAACCGGAGGTTGGCATTTACAAATGTCGATATTCGCGTAAAAAGGTATTTGAATTAACAGTATGCATAGCAACTTGAATAAATAAAATGTTGAGTAACCGGAGATCTTCACCTAAAAGTGTCGATTTTCGCATAAAAAGGCATTATCACTATTTAAGTAAAATGAAGTGTGAATAATTCTCTCTTAGTTGTTAAATTTTGGAAAAAAAAATGGTTATAGGATGAGGAAAGCTATAAATTGACTATGTGATTTATTTATTTGTGAAATTAAGTCAGGATAAGAAATTAAGTTGAATTTGTTAAAATTGGGATATAATTATCTTTCTTTAACTTGATATTATGAGTATTTAGTGCAATCTGAATAAAGGCATAATGATTGGTTTCCAAGTCTTGAGGAATTAAATTGACAAAAGTATATTGTTTCATCTCTTGAATCATTGAAGTTGATTATGTGTGAATTGTTTGAGGACAAGCAATGATTCAAGTGTGGGGGAATTTGATAAGTGAATATTTAACGTACATTTTGTACAAGTTTGACATGAACTTTTGTTATATTTTGAGAGGATTAAAGCCATATTTGAACTTTTTTTTGTGCTAATTGCTTAAGTATTGTTTGAGTAATCAAAACTTGCTAAATGAGTGGATTAATGCTTTAATCTGTGATATTTTGAAGGATATTGATATGTAAAATTCATGTACAAGATAAAGAAAAAGCAAGGATCATCTGGAGGATAAAGTACAAAAGAAACGAGGAGCAAAAATGAAGAAAAAAAGAAGGAATTGAAAATCTGGAAATTGAAGTACATGGATCCGAGCTCGGATCCCTGTGCACAAGGGCGATCCGAGCCCTCGTTTGTACTTCTGGAATAGTGGATCCAAGGTCAGTCGATCCGAGCTCGGATCCAGGTGAGAAAGGCCTCGAATCAGTTATGATCCGAGCTCGGCTCACAATAAAACCCTCGGATCCAAGGCTCGGATCTGCCTCTCTCCTATGCAAGTGGCACAGCCAATTTTCTTACTTTTCACACTACTTTCCAGCTATCTTTGGTGAGAAAATTCGGTGGCACATGCTTCTGAAGCAAAAAGAAGGACAATATGATTTATTATCAAGTCAAAACAATATTTCTTTTGACTTTCTTATCAAATTTGAGATTTTTGGAATCATGAGAAGGGAAAAGGAGAACTTTCCATCAGCTTTTATGGAGAACAAGAGGGAGAAGTCTAGGGGTAGCTAGTTTTCTTCTTGTAACATTTTCTCTCTAGTTAGAAGTTCTTAAAGGAGCACTTGAAGACTTCATATTGGAATCATTTTCAGTGCAAGACATAGCAGAAATTGGAGGGTTTCACCATTAACTTGGTTAAGATTTTCTTAACTTTTTTGTACTTGTAACTTGAGATATTTTTCATTAATAAAGTTATGAGTGTAATTGTTATATCATCCATGAGTAGTTAATTTTCTATATCTAGGGAGTAGTTGAAACTTATGGCCAAGTGATATAAATTGAATGTGACTTACATTTGTTATATCTTGTAATAACTTGTCTACTTGTGTATGAGTGATTACTTCTTGTTGTTTGATCACCAATAGCAAGATTATAGTTGTTATTACTCATTAAGAAATGGTAGTAAAAATGAAATGACATGAGTAGAGCTAGAGTTGTATGTTCATGAGTATAGAAATACATTCAAGTGGATGAAATCTGCATTTCATGCATGAACAAGAACAGAGTTAGTTATTTACCAAGAAATTAGGAAAAACTAAGCTGTTCTAGGCCATTATTATCATGAGAATGAGATTTTGGTATTTCTTTGAAAATGAATCCCTGGTTAAACAAGAGTAGTAACAAGTGTTAAGTTCATTAAATCAAATCTTTTGTGCCATAAGTGGAATCTATATTCCTAAATTTAAGTCTTTAGTGAAAAATCTCAATTTGTAGCTTGCATTTGTTAATTCAGAATTGTAGACAGTTGCAATATCATTTCTCTGCTCAAATTTATTATAAGTCTAAATAATAGAGAAAATAAGGACCTAGTACTTGTAGACATTGCTTCTCGTGGGATCGACCCGATACATGCCCTATATTATTTGATTGACCTGTATACTTTCAGATAACGGGTATAAAATTGGATTTAAACTTGCACTTATATTAAAAACCCAACAACCGTACAAGTCAAACACAAACTAGAGTTCATCAGATCATAACACAAGTTACAGTCAAGCAAAGCACGTACCAAGTTAAGGTCAATAAACAAAAGTAAACATGCGATTAACAAAAGTATATGCATCTCCAAGGCACAAACTCTTAAGTCTTATTCCCATAGTCCCATTACAAAAGATCAAAAATAGTGCTTCACTAGATTAATTGGAACTAGATAATTCCCGTTCCCTAACACTAGGATCCTCCGGCCACAATCTTCTCCACCTCTCTCTCTTAATTGTTGTGTCATCCTAGCCAAACAATTATTGGTTTCTTATAACTATTCACATGAAATATCGATTCGTTCTTATTCCCCGCAAATGGAGATCTCAACTTCTTAACATTACCCTCAACTCTTAAGTACTCGGGTACAAGAATCCGAAATAAGATAATTCACAACTCGAGCCGGCCGGTCCCAAGAGTAAATCACCACATTTGAAATTCCTACCCAACATATATATCTAAATTTTCCCAAGTATCAAGATAAAGGGTTTATACCTATCACATTCATGATTCACAGCTTACGCTTTAGAAGAGTACTTAAATCTTTACTCATTCACATAATAAGGACCATAACATCACTTGGCCCAAACTCATCCCGCGCAGAGACCACGCGAAGTGGCTCTGATACCACCTGTAACGCCCCCACTTTTCCCAAGGGCAAATCCAAAAGTATCTGCCTAACGCCTGCCCAACTCTCCCCAAGACTCGATACAAGTCAAATTTAAACTTAAA